CTTTCCAAGGCCTCAGCTGTTTTACTGAACTATAATTTATCAAAGGGCAGATTTATGGATACAAATTAATTATTGTGTAATAAGTTCTTGTTATTTAAGAAATTATCATTTTGCCATGTGATAAAGAATATAACACTTTAATCTGCATAGGTTATGCAGTCACAAATCTATAATTCATTGATATAGTACTTTACTAGTATGCAGAAAAAAATTATGATAGCAGGCCTGAGATTAATGCCCTTATAAAGACCTGTCTGCAAGGCTGGCCTGTGGCTAGCACCTAGACATTTCAATTTAGGGAGGGTTTCTACCATTTCTTGACAAGAATGCCCCATGCTGCCTAAACTGTTTAAACAAAAAGTGTGATTTACATTGGACACTTGCTTTCCTTGTGGGAGTCTAGAATTTTGGTATGTTCCAAGCAAAGGCAGTTATGAGACCAGCCCTCAATAAAAATAATGAGTACTAAGTCTCTAATGAACTTCGCTGGTACCCAACATTTCTTATGTGTTGTCAAAATTAGTTGCTGAAAGAGTTAAGTCATCCTGTGTATCTTCTCTGGGACATGACATTTTGGAAGCTTATACCTGGTTTCCCCCAGACTTTGCCACATGTACCTTTTTCCTTTGTTGATTTTGCTTTGTATCCTTCACTGGAATAAACCATTGCCATGAATATAACTACATGGTGAATCCTATGAGTCTTGTCAGCAACTGTTGAACCTAGGATGATCTCGGGACTGCTGACATGGTTAGTGTCAGGAGTCACAAGGCAGGATGAAGCAGCAGGTTGACACTCTTGCTGAGTGGCTATGAAATCAACCATGATTTCAAATAGCAGCTGAGCTTCTAGCTGTTGTGAGAGGTAAAAGTTATCTATGAAATTTCAAAAGGACAGATCTAACCCCAGGGGAATGGACCCTCTCAATTGTCTTGGGGTTTGTTCTTAAGGGGGAGGGGGTCCCTAAAGCTCCCAAAAGTGAATTCTGGATGAACCAAAAATGTTAAACATTTATGCTTTTTTTTTCCCCCTCTAAGTATGAGCAAATAATAGTTAAATCAGAGCCTGGGGCTGGTGCAAAGCTTTACATAGCCTAGTCTCTTTTTAATTCCATGTATTTCAGTCAGGATCTCCCAGCAACTATAATATTAATCCTATGAATGCTGATTTACAACTAGGGGTTTAGTTAAATGTGTAATGAGGAAAAAAGAGGGGAGATGGTGAAAAGATGGCTTTGTATTTTGTTGCTATTATACCTAGATATATGATGTACTATGTTTGTCATTTCACAGAAGTGGTAGAGCTTGCCTAGCATACCTAAGACCCTGAATCCAATCCCCAACATCACAAAAATACATATATATATATATACTTACTAGATGGATCACCTCAATCAGGAAAAGTTACCAAAAAAAGTAGTCTATAACTTCTCTTTTTTTTTTTCCCCTGCTAGTGAAGAAACTGTATTTTAAAACTCTGAGCACTGGAAAGAGACTAAATTTCTACATAAAATTTATTGTAGATGATATCGACAATGATTTTTTAATCTATGGGGGTCTCTAGAAAAAGGGATACAAACAAAGAAACAAAGGAAATTGCAAGATGGAATCACAATTTGGGAGGGTTTTTGTTTTGCTTTTTCAGTTTGGTAGTTTTAAAAAGCAGTTTTGCATTACTACTAAGCTCTTGTGAAATCAGATGTCTGATTAGAGGCTGATGATTTTTCAAGCTTAGCGCATATATTTGAGTGGATCAATTAGGACTCCAAGACTAGACAAGATATAATAGGCTTAGGATATGCTTGCTTGTCATCTGGACTTAGAACATGTTTGTGAAGGCTGCAACATCTTAGCTTTGCCATTGTCAAAGAAAAGCTAAAGGCTTTTCTGAAGTCCTGAACTCACATATCTTAATTGCCTGGATCCAACTCCAGGCTGAAACCTGATTCTGAACTTGGGCTATTTCAATCTCAACACAAGCTGTGCTAAACTGGAAGCAGGAATATGCTCCATAAACATGACTATGCCTTGAAGATGTTTAATATTTAAAAGGTGCTCTTCTGCTGGACATGGTGGTGGCATACCTGTAATCCCAGCAATTTGGGAGACTGAGGAAGGAGATCAAGGCTAGTTCAAGGCCAGCCTCAACAACTTAGTGAGACTCTGTCTCAAAAAATTGAAAGGATTGGGGATGTAGCTGAGTGGGTAGAGTACCCTGGGTTTAATCCCAAGTACTATAAATAAATACATAACACTCTTTTGTGGATCCATAACCTATGAAAAAATCATGGATTCTAACTGGACTGTCTCAATCGCTTACAGATGTCCAGAGAAAAGGACTTATTCTTTGATGAGACCATCCAAAAATCAAGTGGCTAATTGGCTCTAAATACTAATATAGAGACTAACAACTGCACTCCTCACTGGTGGTTCCTGCTAAATATTACAAACTGAGATAAGGCAAACCACAAAATATTAATCCTTTACCCACTCATTACAGATTGGACTCCTGACCCAGTCTTGAGATCACACTGCTACTGACTTGTGTTTAGCTTTCCAGATTAGCTACAGTTTGCAACAGATTAATAACTTAACTCTATTTCTCTTCCCTTCTCCTCACCCCTCCTGGTAAACATACATTATTAAGGCTGTTTTAGCTATTAAATACAGCTGCCCAGAGAAAGAAATATCTTTTCTAGGCTGTTTAATAGATGAATGAACAAGGAAAATAGTGTAGGAGGTAACATAAGCCCATCTTGAAAAGTTTTTAAAGCCCCAGTTTCTTCCTTTCTTTCTTTTTAAATATTTTTTAGTTGTAGATGGACATAACACCTTTATTTTATTCATTTATTTTTATGCAGTGCTGAGGATCGAACCCAGTGCCTCACATGTGTGAGGCAAGTGCTCTACCACTGAACCACAACCTCAGCCCCTCAAGCCCCAGTTTCTGTACCTTCCATGTAAAACACCTCCAGATGTTGTTCACACTAGTGAGGCAAATGAACTACTGTGACAGACAAACAAAAACTGACATCAGGCAAGCCATCAGAAACCAACGCCTGAACTGAATTAAACATATTGTACTACTGGCCTTGGAACCCTAAGGTGAAAGGTCCCACAATAGGAGTCAAAAGTGGGGGCCTTGTTAATCTGTACTACCTGACTAAGGTATGTCTTACTTAGGGAACACTAACAATTGAAAACTTGTTTCCAAGAATATCACATTTGTCCTCTAAGATTACATGTGTGTGTGCGCTCTGGCCATCATCACCTTGATACAATCCTGGAAAGCTTTCAGGTTTGCTTCAACTTACTGGCTCTTTGCCTAAAATTGATGCCTCAGGCCATCTTCTTTTTTTTTTTTTTTTTTAAAGATTCACTGGATGTGGTGGCACAAGTCTATAATCCCAGCTACTCAGGAGGCTAAAGCAGGAGGATCACAAGTTCAAGGCCAGCCTAAGTAACTTAGCAAGACTGTTTAAAACACACACACACAAACAAAACAAAAATGGTTCATACAGAAACTGAAGGAGGAAAATCACTTGGTTTTCTAAGATAAACTTTATGGCTAATGGAATTTGTTTTGGCTTGCTAAATCCAGTGTCATATACTGGATGACACAGTATTTGTGTATTACCTAGATACACTGTATTTATTTTTGGTACCAGGGATTGAACTCAGGGGCACTCAACCACTGAGCCATATCACCAGCCTATTTGTATTTTATTTAGAAACAGGGTCTCACTGAGTTGCTTAGTGCCTCTATGTTGCTGAAGTTGGCTCTGAACTCAAGATCCTCCAGTCTCAGCCTCTGGAGCTGCTGGGATTATAGGCATAAGCTACAGTGCTAGATACACTTTAAATAAGGGATCTGGGGATGTAGATCAGTAAAACACTTGTGTAGCATGCATGAAGCCTTGGGTTTGTCCCCCAATACTGCAGAAAAAAAAAACTTTAAATAATCTCTAGATTACTCATAATAACTATGTAAATAGTTGTTATACTGTATTGTTTAGGAAATGACAAGAAAAAAGTCTGTGTATGATTAAAGTTGGTATAATTTAAAAAAATACATTTTCGATCCATAATTGGTTGAATCTACAGATACAGAACTGTGGGCCCTCTAAAAGGTAGGGGAAAAATATATACGTGTGTGTTGGGGGTGGGCAGTACTAGGGGTCAAAACCAGGACCTCACACACACAAGGCAAGAATTCTACCACTGAGCCACATCCCCAGCTCTCCTGGCAAAAGGTATAATTGAGATCAATACTACATGTTGGTCTTATCCTGCTACTTGGAGGCCTACTAACAATAATTTTGCTATAAAGACATTTTACTCAAAGGACAAGAGTTAACACAGCAAAGCCCACACTGAATTCCTTAGAAATGCCTGCTTGTAAGGTTATCCTTTGGTTGGCATTGGAGAACGTAAGTAGTCAACAATTCCTACACTTTCCTGAGAATAGTAGCCCATTATACCTAAACTGTTTATATAAACAATTTGGTTTACACTGAACACCTGCTGTCTTTCAGGTAGTCTAGAATTTTGGTACGTGCCAGGCACATACTATGTAATCAGTTCCTATAAAAACCCTGGACACTGAGTCTCTATCAAGTTTCTCTGGTAGACAACATACCACAAGTTGTTAATCTTGTTGCTGGGGAAATTTATTGTGCCCTGTGTAACTCCCCTGGGAGAGGTCTTAGAAACTTGTGCTTGTTGCCTTCCTCCCCTCCCGCAACTTCACTGCATGTGCCCTTTCCCTTTGCCGATTTTCATTTGTATCCTTTTACTATAATAAGTCATAGCCATGAGTATGACTTTATGTTCCATCCTGTGAGTCCTTAATGAACCTAAGGAAAGTCTTGGGGACCCCCAACAAAACTAGTAATAACTTTAAACAGGTAAACAGACCATCCTGAATAACACATTCCATTTGGGTACAGAAAGACATAAAAACTAGCTTTATGGTAGCAACAGAATTAGTAAATTACTTACGAAAACAGATCAAACCACTGTTGTTTTGTAACAGATTCTTGGCGTAAAAGCTTCAAAACAATCGGACGCATGAAATCCCACTTGTCTTCAAACTGAAGAGAACCTTTATTCTTAAAAAAAAAAAAAAAGAACTTTAATTTAAATGTAATTATATAATTATATCAAAAGTGTCTTGTAGCTTTTGTCTTTTAAGGGCCATCTAGAGAAATGCAAAGCTCAAATTTAAAAGACCCAACTTTCCATAATGGAATCCCTCTAGGCTTATATCAAGAAGTCATAGGAAGAAAACTATAAAAGAGAAAAACTGGAGATGGGGATATAGCTTAATGGTAGAACTTCAGCCTGGCATGCATGAAGCCCTGGATTCAATCCCCAGCATCACAGACATTTAGGGGTGGGTGGAAGAGGGGGGCTGATGGAGGGGGCGGACAGATAAGAGAGAGAGAAAAAGATGGAGGCTGAAATTTTAAGAGAAAAACTGGGGTAGGGGTACAGCTTAATGGTAGACCATTTGTCTACCATTCATGAGACTCTGGATTCAATTTTCAGCACTGCACAGAGGGGATGAGGAGGAGAGGTTGATAGGTTGATTAGCATACTGTCACATTCTGATGCCAGAAGAAAAATGTGTGCTGACTACACAGGAAGAGGACATAAAAAGTTCTGTGTTTTAATCCCTCCTAGACTGCCCTGTTCTTCTCTTCCTTTGGCAGATCTTAATCTGAATCCTTTCCCTATAATGAATAGTAACTAAGATTACAACAGCTTTCAGTAAATTCTAGGAGCTTTTCTACTCAGTGTCAGCAGTAAGGGCTGCCCCGAGCTTCATAAAAAGAACAGTTATTCCCTGGTATCCACAGGGACTGTGTCCAGGACTTCACATGGATACCAAAGCTTCAGAGGCTCAAGTCCTTTACATACAATGATATAGTGCTTGCATATTACCTACATATACTTTAAATCATCTCTTGATTACTTATATTACCTAATGGCAATGCTATGTAAATAGTTGTTATACGTATTATTGGGAAATAACAAGAAAAAAGTGTACACATGTTTAAAGGTCTGTACAATATTTTCCTGAATATTTTCAACCCATGGTTGGTTGAATCCACAGATGTGGAACTGTGGAGAGGGTTACCTGTATGTTGGAAATCTACATAAGCTCTCAAAATTGGGGAATGAAAACATGGAAAGGTACTCATCCATTTTATAATGCCAACAAAACCTTGACACCAAATGGAGAACAAAAGAAATAAAACTCTAAGCTAATTTTACTACAGAACACAGATGCAAAGATCTAAACAAATACTAGCAGCCAGGTGTGATGGCACACACTTGTCATTCCAGTGGCTCAGGGGGCTGAGATCAAAAGTTTAAGGTCAGCTTCAACAACTTGGCAAGACCCTAAGCAATTCAGAGAACCCTGTCTCAAAATAAAAAGGGCTAGGGATGTGGATCAGTGGTAAAATGTCCCTGGGTTAAATTCTCAGTATCAAAAAACAAAATAAATAAATAAATAATAAAAACAAAGCCCAAATACAACCAAACCAAACAAGTGGTATACCAGAACAATGATTCCTCATAATCATATATAGTTTATCCCAGGACTGTGAAAATGGTTCAATATTAAGAGGAAAAGAGCCCATTAATTCATTACATTACCAAAAAGAAAGGGAGAAAGACTTCATGTGTATTAATCACTAGTTCTGTTCCTTTTCAAGTTAAATGTATCTGCCCATGTGACTTGTTTTGGCTAATATATTAACAAAAGTCATTAATTTTCTAATATACCAGCACAAAACACCTTATGGAATTCATAATGGTTTTTTTATACAAATGTTGTTGAAGACATTGCTCACTAATCACAGGTTCTTTTTTTCCCCACTTACAGGTGCTGGTGATTGAACCCAACAGGGCCATTTACATGCTAGGTAAGTGTTCTGTCACTGAGCTATACCCCCAAGAAAACGTTTTTTTGTTCCGTCTCATGAAATATACAAGATCAACTACAAAACCACTTTCTCCTAATATTCAAGTAAAGGAAGAATTTAATAACTGAATGCTTTCTATTAAAACAGATTCCAAAAATGATGCAAGCAATTTTTGACCTATTCTTTATTAAATTAAGAGTAAATCAAATTCTTAATCTCAGCTTGATGTCCTGACTGCAAGTTCCCTGAAATTATAATCCTGAAACAGTTTCTCAAAACATGGTCTGACAATAACCCACATCAAAATCACCTGGGATGGTGAGTCTACATATAGACTCCTAAAGCCTACCACGCACCTACTGGATCAGAATCTCTTGAGTAAGATCAAACTACATAAATATGTTTGAAAGTCTATGATCCCAAAAGGTTAAAAACTACTAAAATCTTACAAGAGTGAAAACAAGTGATGCTTCTTATATTCACACAGCTCCTCCTCCTGTCTTGCCCCAAGTGAATGCTTCTAACATATCCAACACACAGTATTCTGTATAAGGGCTGATAGAAGATATTCACTCAAAACTTAGTACCAGAATTAGTTGTTGTTCTTCCTTCAGTAACTAGTTTGCTTTTATCTTAAGAACTTAAGTTAATTACATAGGTAACTTTGCTCCTCTCATAATGAGAAATTCAGTCAGATTTGTTAGCCTGTGACAATATGTTACTCATCTTATGTTTAGCTTCATGTTACTTTTTCTACTATTGTTATTTTCCTGTTAACTTCACTTCTTTACTTTTCCCTCTTGAAAAAGAGTGTGCAAATAAACATATATGAAAGAATCACAAAAAGAGCATACAAGTTTTAAGAATTTAATCCCCAGTACTGTCCAAAAAATTGTTTTTCCTTGACTTTGGCAGGGAAAATCATAATATTCTCCTAATAAGAGAATACTTTCTAATTTCAACTAAGTCTGTTTCCATAAGCACTTTTGGCAACTTATAAAATTAAACATACTAGTATCAATTTCCATGCATGTATGAGTTTGTCGTGATGAACCTAACTATTATGTAGAACTATAAAGCTCTAGTAAAGAAAAAAATTAAACATAGTATAAATCCTGCAATTCAAAATCAAAATGGTGCAGAGGACTAGAATAGCAGGTACTTGAAATAAATTAAATACTGGTTATGATCTGAAATCCAATAGATTTGGCAAGAAAATATTTTTTGTTCCATCTCATGAAATATACAAGATCAACTACTAAACCACTTTCTCCTAACATTCAAGTAAAGGAAGAATTTAATAACTGAATGCTTTCTATTAAAACAGATTCCAAAAATGATGCAAGCAATTTTTGACCTATTCTCTATTAAATTAAGAGTAAGTCATTAAATCATAACTAAGCAATAGGATACCAAACCTCCTATCTACAAAAGGAAATGCCTCATCAATAAGCAATGAAAGTCAGGTATGGTGGCACATGCCCATAATCCTAGTAATTCAGGAAGCTGAAGCAGGAGGATTGCAAGTTCAAAACCAGCCTCAGCACTTAGTGAGGTCCTAAGCAACTCAGTGAGACCCTGTCTCTAAATAAAACACAAAAAAGGGCCAGTGATGTGGCTCAGTGGTTAAGTGCCCTGGGTTCAATCCCCAGTCTCCCCCCCCCCAAAAAAAAAGCAAAGGAATCTTCAAATCATGAACCCTGAGTTAGTAATGTTTCCACTGACTAACTGAAGGCTGCTTCCTCTCTATTAACTTGCTACAAAATCTCTTCTGCTTTCTTTCACTGCTACTCAGAATAGCAAGTGGGAAGGCGTTCGAATTGTTAATAAATCTAGGATCATCTCACACACTAGCTTTTTTACCAAGAACTTCCACATTTGCCAAAAGCATATTGAAGGGAGTGATTATAATGATTGAAAAAGAGAATTAATACTGGATAAGGAGGTGGAAAAGGACATTAAGATAATGAGAAATAAACTTCAACTATGATGGGATAACAGGCCAGATTTCTCCTTCCACCTAAATAACTAGAAAGCCAAAAGGCAGTCCAGGACAGTACTTCCTGAGAAGAAAAAAACAAGAGACAAGCCCCACAAATTCTCAAACAAACTGCCTAGAGAACTTCCAGGCCTCAGAATAGGAGTGGAAACTCAAACAGAGCCTTGGTGATTTTATGATGCTGAAAAGACAGGGTTAGGAGAAGTGAGGTGATGGGAATTTGTGCTGCAGAAATAGCAGGGGGAAAAAAAGGAAAGGGATCTATAAAGGGGTCCTCTCAAGTCTTTGATATTTAACTTCACAATAATCTTCAATAGAGATGTGAAAATCATTCCATCACTCTGATCATTGTACTTCACAATTATATGTCAGCTAGTATACTATTCTAAATACAAGTTACTAATTCACTTAATCTTTACAACTACCCTGTGTGTTAAGTGATACCATTATTCCTGCTATATAGATGAAAAAACTGTACACCGTAATCTGAAATTAAGTTAGATTATTTGCACAAAACTAAAAGCAATGAATGGCAGAGCGGGAATTCAAATTTAAGCAGTTTAGCTCTGTTAAAGCCATGTTCTTAAGTATTCCCTGATTCTTTCCTGGATAAAAATAGAGGGACTTCTAACCTATGTGCCAGAACTAGTCCTTGGTTTAAGTACATCAAGCTTGTAAACCACAAAAAACAAAAACCAAAAAACTGATTATAAAAATTTAGTGGTAATTATCTGGAAACAATAAGATGGAAGCATCACTACATAAAAGACATTTCTTTTTAAAATATAGTCCTCCACCTCTTCCCAAGTTATATGGGTGGAGGGAGATGAGGGGGA